CTGCATATCTAAACTTTCCCCTTCAGCCACGTCATGCCTTTGCCCCATCATCTGCTCAAACCCCCTTCTAAACTCAGCCAGTGTTTCCACCTGCATCTCCAGTCCTCGGATCTTTTCTTCCATCAGCTCTATCAGGCGGCACTTCATGCAAACAAAACTCCTTTCAGGTACCCCCTCCAGAATCATGTACATACCGCAGCTACCACATCCAATCATCCTTCTTGTGTTCTCTACTACTTGGGCCATGGCCACTAATGCCTTTATGTTTTATCTACTTTCTCACCAAAATCCTATTAGTCCGGTGAACACAAAAACAAACCAAAACACCCTCTCCACAGCAAAAACAAACTCCAAACAAGTCCCAATATCCAAACTCCCACTCAAACTCCCCTGTTTACAGCTGTTTGTTTGGCTCCTGTGCCGCTGCAGCTATCTGTGCCGCTGCCTGACTAGAAGGCTACCTTTATAGGACCCCTAATCAGTGAAGCCCCGCCCCCTAATCAGGGCTCAGCTTCTCTCCCAGCACACTGCCCCTCTAACAGAACTCCCACTCAAACTCCCCTGTTTACAGCTGTTTGTTTGGCTCCTGTGCCGCTGCAGCTATCTGATTTATTTTAGTAGCTCAAAGCGGATCATTCACGTAGCTGAGGATAGCTATAGAGTGGGGGCACTCAACCATGTCTTGTGTTGACATCGGGTTGGGGGAAGGCATGAGAACAGTTACAGTGGATGTACACAAACTTAGGCAAAGGGAATCCTGCACTAACCAGCTATGCTAGTCTTAGGATTGCCTTGTAATATGCAGCATCAGGAAAGAACTGGGGCTAAAATGTCTACATGGAAACAAAACAGAAATAATAAAAATGATTTTAAAAAGTGAAGGCTGAACCTCCTCCACCCACACATAATCCTAAACTTGTAATAGCAAAGCACTTCTACCAAATGAATAATGAGGTGTGAAAAGGGATGCAATTATAGTACACCATAGAATAATCAGTCTCCAGTGACTATCTTAAAAAGAAACAAGAACAGCACAGAAAGGAATGAAAGATTTTTAAGGCACCTAGGCTACGTCTACACTGGCCCCTTTTCCGGAAGGGGCATGTAAATTTCACTAGTTGTCGTAGGGAAATCCGCGGGGGATTTAAATATCCCCCGCGGCATTTAAATAAAAATGTCCGCCGCTTTTTTCCGGCTTTTAAAAAAGCCGGAAAAGAGCGTCTAGACTGGCCCCGATCCTCCGGAAAAAGTGCCCTTTTCCGGAGGATCGGGGCCAGTGTAGACGCTCTTTTCCGGCTTTTTTAAAAGCCGGAAAACAGCGGCGGACATTTTTATTTAAATGCCGCGGGGGATATTTAAATCCCCCGCGGATTTCCCTACGATGACTGCTGAAATTTACATGCCCCTTCCGGAAAAGGGGCCAGTGTAGACGTATCCCTAGTGTATGGCTAAATATCCTACATCCAACAGTAAGTATTTCTCCTTAATCAGATCTGTTGTTGCTACTGTCTACAACTTTTTGCAGTGCAAAGGGCCAGATCATCCTTGCAGATGGCATTTATAAGGAGCTGTCACAGACATCAGTAAAAATGATGCACACATATCTGCAAGGCCATTATGAGCAAAGATTTGTATTTACAGTATTTTCCTTGAGAGAAATAATGATGAATGTATATGTAATGTATAAAAATAGATGCATCCAAAACCTGAAAGAAACTGTCCTGAACTTTGAGCTTTTTTGAAATCTGAATCCAGATCCAAATTTTGAAAATTTTATGTAACTTTAAAATAAACAAACCCAAAACGGAAACTCCCCCAGTGTCCTAGAAGCCAGATATCTGGTTCTAGATCTGAATTTTGTATCTTGAGCATATGTCTAGTGTGAATAGTCAGTGCTAAATAGAAAATTACACAAAAGAAAATCCATTTCTAATAATAGATTTCTATAGTCCAAGACATTTCTTGAAATTTCTCCATGTGACCAATCACAACTATCTGCATTTCTTATCTTTTATTGATAAAAAAGTTTTTAAAAAATCACAGAGCAGTTTAAATGGTGTCAAGGCTTACTTCCCTCCTTTATCTGCTGCTTCTTGCCGCTAGAGTGAGAAAATCTTCCTAAAAGGGCGTGGAAACGTAGTGACAAATCCTACTTGGTTGTGGGACTGAGCTCTCTGGGGACATGAGCCAATTCTGTGTATTTCCCAAGGAGTCTGCTATGCCACTGATTCCCAAACTTTTGTATACACCACGGACCGGCAAACCCATTCATAAGCTTTTGGTGGACCAGTAACATTTTATTTGTGTATCTGCATATTCATTATGTAAATAATGAATACACAATTATGGAAATAAAAATTTTACTTGTTCGCCAAACTATGTACCCCAGCCCCAGAGCCACTACAAACAGCTGGCTTTAGCTGCGGCAGCCACCCGGCACATGGCAACTGCCAGGGCTGAAGCCCGCTATTCGTCGCGACCTTGGGGGGCGACGGTTTTCGACAAACAGCTGCTGGCTATGCACCCTGGAGCAGCCAGCATGGACATGGCCTGGCAGTGTGCTGCAGCCTGGCAGCCAGCAGTTTGCAGCCTGGCACCTGTCCGTGGACCAGCAGTTGGGAACAACTATAGAATGCTGGCAGAAATGTGAAAGCTGTGCCGTTAGGTAGAACCCCACAGAAGAAGGCATGGGAGGGTAGGAGTTGATAGCAGTAACACTGCATGCTCCTTCTGTGGCCCAGTTGCCCTATGGGGTAAATGAGTCCCTCAGCTGTAAGTCATTTCTGTTTTCTGTCAGAAGGGCATTACAACAGAGATTCCCTCATTTTTAAAATAAATATAAAGCGGTAATTACTGAGCATGTTTTTACCATATGATCTTGAAGCACTTTGTAAGTATCTGCTGATGAAAAACATGAAGTAAGAGGCTCAGCCAGTTTAGCTTCAAATCTAGACACAGCTTTCTGCACCTATGAAATAAAATACAAAACAGAGGTTTTAAAAAAGCTGGAAAAAAAAAACAAATTAAATGACACAGTTTGAAACTATATGTTGGCTAATAAATTAAGTATTCAGAGCCAACTGATATTTGAGGGCCTGTCTTTGTGAGATACTCTGGGATTCCTGAAGTTAATAGGACTTTAAGGCACTCAGCTGCTCTCAAGAGAGGTGGAAGCACTTTGCAGGACTTGTCTTTTATGCAAACAGTATTCATTCCAGCCTGATACCAAAGATGGATAAGTTCACGTGTCAAGTGTCTAGACCTGACATACTATTGTAGCATCTAGAATTGTTCTGGGTTGTTTTAAAGACATGGAACTCTGTATGCTTCTATATTATTTCTCAATGTAATTACCTTTTAAATCATTTTAAACAAAATTTACCAGAGGAGGATTAAAAAACATTAACTAAAAATAGACCTTATTTCAATTTCTTGTATAATAAAATATGGTATGGCATGTGTAATTTTAGGGTTCTACTGGGAAACTATAAACTTTCTATGAATAGTCCATGAATAGTCTATTAAGAATTTGCAATGTCTACCTGTTCGAGACTTTCTTCATACTTCTGCTGCTGTGATGCGTTCCCAGTTATTATTCCTTCCAGACAGTGTGCATGATCTCTAAGCTCTTCCCAGTACCTTCTGATCTGTGTTAACTTGGCTCTAATATGTGCAGATTCTCCAGAAGTGACAAACTGAGAAAAAGACTGAGATTCCTCTTCTAGGCTTGGGATTCCATTTATTTTACCATCTATTTCTTTACTAATAACCTAAAACATAAAGTAATAATAAATCAGCAGCCACAATAGATTTCTCAGTTGATCAGAATAATCCCTTTCTATTTTCTGATCACTAGTGTTTATAATAGCCACAGTAATTTTCTTACAAATGTATGTTCTGGAAGAAGGAAAGGACAATTTAGAGATCGCCCCATACATCTGTTTATAAAAATCTTTATTATATTATCTAAGATTCTTTTCCTTCTTTGGATTTAATGTCAGAAAGCTGATTTTTAAAAGCTGATTTTCTATGAAAATCAGCTAAAGTAGACAAAATGAAATGGACTTTAGCATAATGATGATATGTGGAATTTTCTACCTCCTGGAATTGGTTGAATAATTCTGATTGGGATTCAATAAGGAAAAATAAACATAACTAAGTCACCAAAGGACATTTGAAATTAGGCTTGACAAATAAAATTAGTAAATGTACAATGAAAAATAAACATATTGACCAGGAGATGGACAATAATCTAGTATGAATAGGATTTAACAGTTTGCAAGCATGTGTGTTAGAGTGTAAATAAGAGCATTTTACAAATTGGAAAAAAAGAATTTATGATCTAAAAGAATGAATCAGATTAGAAATTTAACTAAGATAATTCTGCCTCTCAAGCACAGGATTAAATCAAGAGCCAGATTGGCGGTCCAAACAACATTCTCCTCTGGACCATATTGATACTTGCCTTAGATCATTAAACATAGCTCTGAGATAATCTATCATTAGCTTTTGTTTTCATCTTCTACTTTGAAGGTAGGTGCTAGTTGATCTTGGTGTATCCTATTTTATCTGTTTCTATGCATATTTTAATTAGCAATGAAGGAGAAGCATGAGACCTTCACACAAGTTGGAAACTTGTAGCACCTATGCATTTGTATTCATTAAACATCTGTGCACATGGAAAGGAAGAATGTTCACTTCAGCCCATGTGGCATGCTCATGAAGCTTTTTGTCAGAACTGTCAAGTAATGGGGAGACACATAAACCCTCTTGTACTGATTTGGAGAAATGCTCAATCATCCTCAAAAATGTATATGAAAAGGGTTATGTGACTGGCAAAATTCCAAGATTGACATGAAACTGTACCATTCCAGGCACAAGATCTACTGAACTAGTGTAATCATGCTGACAACAAAAACACTAATTATATTTTACTTACTATTCAAAAATAATTACTCAACTTGCAGTGAAAAGAATTTTGCAAGGTAAGCGTCTAGAGCAGCAAAGTTATATAGTATAGTTAAAATGCACTGTTCTAAATCAGCAAAAGCGACGAGGAGTCCTGTGGCACCTTATAGACTAACTGAAGTGTAGGAGCATAAGCTTTCGTGGGCAAAGACCCACTTCGTCAGATGCAGGACTCCTCGTCGCTTTTGCAGATTCAGACTAACACGGCTACCCCTCTGATACTTGTTCTAAATCAGCAATTATAAAGTCTATGTGCGATGCTTTGAATGAATTTTGATGATAAAATCACTTTTTTTTGCATGAGAATAGAGTGTTAATGAAAGGTACTAGATTGACAGCACTGTAGTTGCAATCCTGACTCAAAAGAACAGGAATAAGTTAGGTGGTGCAAATTTGTACCTACGGTGTCCTTTATCACCTAAGAGGTGGTGGATAACTGAGTCTGACAAGAGCGATAAAATTTAGTGATAACTGTAAAAGTAATTTCTGTGGATCTCTGCCCACTAGGAATTAGAGTAAAATCTCTTAGGCTATGTTTACACTACCAACTTATTACAAAATAACTGATTTTGAAATAATAAGTTCTGAAATAACTATTTCAAAATAAGCTGATTCCTCTTCGCAAGCAGGAGTTGTTATTTTGAAAAACAGGCTTGGTAGTGTGGATACTTGCCTTTTTTATTCAAAATGTAGAAGAATGTATTTTATGCTAATTCACTCAAATGCTTAGCTGTCAATTTAAAGTAATTTTCAGTCTGATAACTGACATTTAATTGAAGAATTATATTCAGTTCTCATACACTTATACTGGAATGGAATGTAGTCATCGCTAATCTGTTCAAGCATAGCATGCAAATATCATTAAGTATCACTTCTCCCATCAGATCTGCATGGATGAACCTGTATGTATTTGCATAAATCAGTTACATTTCATGTAAAAGAACCTATTCAGGGACACACTTTCTAAATTATAACATAATGTTATGTCTCAGAGGAGTAGCCCTATTAGTCTGTATTTGCAAAAACAACAAGGAGTCCTGTGGCATTTTAGGGACTAAGAGATTTATTAGGGCATATGATTTTGTGGGTAAAAATGACCCATGCAACCTTATACCTTAATCAATATGTTAGAGGCCCAGGACTCCTCATTGTTTTCATAATAGAAAAACTTAAAAAGCAATTAATAGTCTAGCAGCACCTTAAAGCCTAACAAAACATGTAGATGGTATCATGAGCTTTCAAGGGTACAACCAACTTCTTCAGATGAATGGAGTATTAAAAATCCAGTTCTAAATAAATAGGAGATGGGGTAGGTTTGATTGGTTAAGACAGTGGTTCTCAACGTGGACCATATGGCTCCCCAGGGGGCCACACCTTACTTCTAGGGGGCCACATGGAAAAAAACCAGAACATTAGGGGGCCACAGTAAGTTTCTGAGGGGGCCACCCAAACTTAACTGTCAGGCATATGATGAATGAGGCTCAGAAAGGGGTCATGAGCAAGAAAAGTTGAGAAACACTGGGTTAAGACATTAGATGTGGAGGTAGCATCCTAGCCATGTAATGTCTTTATTCATACCTTTGTGATGGCTCCCAAACTTGTACATTAAATTAAGGTCCAACATTTCCCTGTGTATTTGGCTTTGGAATTCGCCTGAAACAACATGGTGACTTGGAGATCCATTAATGAGTGCCAGGACACAGAAACCTGTTGGAGAACAGTTTAACCAGCCCGGGCACTCATTAATGGATCTCCCATTAATGGATCTCCAAGTCACCATGATGTTTCAGGCCAATTCCACAAGCCAAATACACAGGGAAGCATTGGAACTTGACTTCATTTACAGGTTTGGGAGCCATCACAAAGGAATGAATAAAGACATTACCTGGCTAGCACTCTACTTTCCATATCCAAATGTCTTAACCAACCAAACAATGGGTACTTAAGAACAATTTGCACCTTCTCTAGGAGCTTCTTGTAACATGAACACTCTAATTCACTCTTTTTTCCCTCCCCACCCCATCCTCTATTTATTTTGGAACTGCACTTTTAATACTCCATTCATCTGAAGAAGTGGGTTGAACCCACAAAAGCTCATGACACTATCTACATGTTTTGTTAGTTTTTATGGTGCAGCTAGACTATTCACTGTTTTCTAAGTTTTTCCAGTAACAGACTAACATGCCTATCCCTCTGAAACTTTTGTATGTTTTTATAATGTAATGTGTAATTCAGATGTGTTCTATTTTCTCCATCAGAGTTATTGAAAATGAAGGTTTTATCCACTGGCTGCTAACAAAAAGGGATGTATGATTTAATGTGTGTCTGTGAAAAACACGGAGACATTAATTTTACTGGGAATTTTTTTGACACATTGCTTCAATGACAAGGTAAGAATTCAAGCAGTGTTTTATCTTTCACTGCTACAACCAAGAGATAGGTGATTTCATTTATTTTGCATATGTTAATCTGGTCACAACTTCAGAAATTAATATTCTGTCAAGAAACTCTTCCAGTTAACCAAATCAATATGACTTGGGATCCTTTCAAAATATGTTGCAACTTCCTGCAGCAGCCCGAATGCAAGCTACTGAAGAGTAAAGGGTTCATAGAAAAAACTATGTTTTGGGAACTTTGCACCAATGAACACTTGCAGATTGGGAAGACATAACTATAGTATGTAGCAGGAGTAAGTAAAGTGATCCATGGAACTGGCAGCATATTTGACTAAGTGCAACTTTTAGAGGTATTGTGCACCTCTGGCATCATTAAATGAACTAGGAGAAAATGTGTATCTATCATACAGTACAGAGAATTTGGAACTGTAGCAATAAAGGTCTATGGGTGCACAAGCTAGTGAGCACACTAGTTCCTTTATTATTTCAGCATAAAAGACACACAAAACATCAGGTGCTATAAAAGAGGGTGCTATAGCCACTGACGGATGTACATTTTACAATACAAAGGCTTTCTAACTCAGTGAAAACATACCACATGGCTATTTTGTGTAAGCCAGTGAGCTTCATTCAAAAAACCTGCATTCATTAAAATTCTTTAATGTTACATACAGTGAAGGCTATGTATGTATAAATAGTGAGTAACAGAGAAACCCTAACAAAAAAACAGCCTATTTCCTTTAGCTCTTGCAAAAATTGAGCTTGATATTTTTATATACAAAGTGTAACATCTTTACATCATTGTAGTTCTGAAACTCAAGTCTCTCCCTTGCAGTCTCTAGCAAAAAAAACCAACCAAACAAAAAAAAGACAGAAATAGGATTGTAATGGTTAATGTAACATGTGAACCAATCACCTTCATTTGGCTGATTTGCATGTCCAAGGGAGATGATGATGTTTCCAAGGTATCCAGTTCTTTTTCTTTTTCAGTTATCCAGATGGACAGAGCTTCAAAATTACTGACAAAATAATCCCACTTGCTTTTCACCATTTCCATGGTTTTAATACTAAAATTAATCAAATTAAGTAGAGAAAATAAATAGTTTAATATACTAAAATTTTTCTTACAGGGTCTAATTAAAAATACTACTTAACCAAATTATAGGTAGGTTGTATTGTCAAAAGAATGTTTTTAGAGTATGTAAATGTGTATTTTGGACCAAAGTCAGATCAGACTTTGTACAATTCCATTAATCTCAATAGTGTTACACACAATATGAGTAACTATAAAATTTGTCTCACCACTTGTGTACAGAGGAACACATGAAAGCAATAAATGCTAAAGAGAAGCAATCCAGGCAGTATATACAAACAATATTCTGTGAAATATGAACATTATATGGCTGTATCAGATTACTTAAAAAAAAGGATCTGAATTAATTTTTTAGCAGGACTGACTATTTCATTGTCTTATGTGATAAACAACAATCTGCCAGCCAGCAAGCAGCTGCTTGTTTTCCTCGAGCAAAGAGTGAACATTGAGTCAAAGAAGAGAAACCTGATGAAGCTTCCACTTGCTCCAAAAAATTTTTTTATCTATAAATGTACATTTTAGACATATTAAACAGGAAGAGATTGTGCTTGATCTTGATTTAGGTCCAAGGCATCACACAAAAAATACCCTTCTCCTTTCTCTCATATGCCTTGCATTGGGTATATCAAAATTAACTTCTTGGCCATAGCTTCTTTTTCTTTCAAAGGGTATGATGGTGCTTATGAAATCAGTACCTGCTTGGTTTGACACTGTCTACTCTAGTGCCAGCTAGACTAGCTGGTAAACAATGAGCCTGTTACATCTTGGCTATGAGAGGGGCATCTTTTAGCTCATGCAGAGGAGGGTCTTGCATTAAATTCCAGAGGTTCCAGGTTTGATCCCAGCTGATAACTACAAGGGTCTGTCAGCATTACACTGAGATAAGGTGGCAATACGTATCCTAAGTCTGTCATGATGCCAGGAACATGTGAGCTGGAGATTAGAACACAGAAGCCATAGAACATTGTGCAGCTCGTCCGAACTCCACTGGGCTGGGAATCTGATTTCATTACGATTCTTTGGACTTTGCCATATTTTAAGGACATCCCTCAGTGCCCTTTGATGAGCTACAAATCAATCTCCACAGAAGGAATGTTTGTCAGGTTGGTTGTGACACTGACTATGCAGATTTGTTTGCCTTTTTTTTCCTCCTGAAGGATTTCTCATAGAAGAGTAGTATGCGAGACCTGCTGTGTGTAGTGGGACATCTTCAGTTCAGAACATTTCTAATCACTAGCACTGCTACTATTCAGTATACATAAGCCACCCTATGACCATATATGAAAGATATTGACTTTGATGCAAAATACAAGTTTTACAAGTTAATCTGGTTCTAATATCCAGTTACACAGACATGCATGTTTTGCAGAAAGAAGCAACTGTGCAAAGATACACTGTTGTATCATAGTACCACAGACATGTTAAATTACTTCACTTGCAACTCTAGGCTGAACGGGAATATGGTCAAAATCTCTGGCTTTCTTCAAGGCCTTATAAAATGATACCACACTATTAAGCAGAGAAATGAATATATATCATTGGCAGTATGCAGCAACTAAGAGTCTACTGAATCGAAAGATAATGGAAGCCAACATCATGATGATGGGAAAAGTCACACTAGCAAGTTAAGTAGAAAAGGATAGATTATTTGACAATAAATGACAATATCTCACATATTTTAATGAGGAGCGTGTAAAGAATGAAACTGCCAAATACTTGCTATAAAGCTGTTGGGATCAGGATTCACATTGGGAAGAAAAAGTGGATGAACTATAGTCAAATTCTTCCCAAAATTTCAAAATAGACGTATAATGATCAATACTGAAATAGCAACAATGTTGGCATTTGCGCTGTCTTTGGTTAGATAACCACTGAGATAGAAGGACATAATTCTAACTTCTTGGAACTAAGGCAGCATGGAACCGGGATATACTTGGAAGTTTATCTTTACAACCAGCAAATCAGATCCCCAGTTGGATAAATCATTGCAGTTCCACTGAACTAAATGTGGCAACACAGATTGGTACTAGCTGAGGATCTGGTTTAATATGATACAAAGTGCATATGTTTAATGAAAACTTAAAATCTAAAGAAACTGTTCAGACCGAAGCATGGTACAGACAATATCGGTTGACAGTGACTATCAGCTTCACCTATTCTCCAGCTTTCCTAACTGGATTTGATAAGAGTTTCTGGCAATATGTGACTCTATGAACAGAGTTTCACAAGATGTCATTGCCCAAACTGAAATAGTGATAAACTAGTGAACATGTATTATATTTTAACAAACACAAAATGTCACATTCATTTTCAGGGGTTTCTCCATGGATCTTGATTTTTCCATTTATATTTCCATTTTTGCCAGAATTTTGGCAAACCTTTTCTTATTTTCACCAACAGAAACAGCTTATTGAACTACCAGTGAAAATCAAATTGGGGCATTCACTAAGATAGCACTTTTCAACATTCCTGTGGAAAAAGGAGGAAAATGTGAGAGACACGTGGTAATTGTGTTGTTTTTATACTTGGACTGAGATATTTTTCAGAAGCCTCTAGTACTTGAAGAACATAACTAATGTCCCCTCTTCATAAGATTGAGCCCATGGCTTAGAAATAAAAAATGCTATTGGTTAAATATGCCTGGAATCATTTTAGTTACTTTGTAATATCAAACCACTATTTTCTTTATTGCATAGGTATTTGTGTTCTCAGCAATAGTTAGTACTAGTCTCCCAGTTACTACTCAATGGCAAGCTAAAATTTACAGTGTTCTTTGAGACTTAACATGAAATGTTGACAATGTAATGTAAAAATCAGATACATTCTTATGGCAGAGAGGAAATACTAGGACTTAAGAACATACTCTTCTTCAAGGGTAACTTCCACTTTTTTCACTTGTTCCTGGATTGACTTTGCCTGCTGTTGAAGGGATTGCTTGTTCTTTGAGCCTAGCTGTATTTCAGAAGAGTACTTCACAAGATTCTCCGCCTGGGATGCCATGGCTACTGTCTGCTTAGAAAGTTCCTGCAAGGAGGGATCATAATTGTTATTTAAAATGTTTTACATTTCCTGATGCTAAAATTATTGTTTTTTCTTCTTCTGTGCTGAGCAAGGATCTTCCCAAGATTATTAATATTTATTCACAGTAGATGTAAAAACATAGAATCTTTTTATTTCCACACTTTCATTAACAAAAGCTCATTTTAGTTAAGTATTTTGTTCTAATTAAGACAACAAACTATGATAGGACAATAAGAGGTCAATGTACTCAGTTAAAAATCAGTGTCTTGGATGGTCTGTGATAGTTTTATTAATGAAATTGGAGAGGATAGTATGTGTAGGTGATTTTTTTGCATTTAATTATCTTTTAAGTGCTATACCCCCTATATATGTGATGGATTTATAGCTTGTTGTAGCTTGTAGCTTGACTTTTGTCTATATTTAGCATTATTTTATTTCATACAAGATCATGATGGATAGCCAGATTGACCAGAGTTAGATACAAATTGGTATCATAGTCAACAGGGAAAGATATAATCACTGCATTTTGCTTTGTCGGCAAAAAGAGGCAGGGGATCTGTCAAGAAAGCAAGCCTTTTTCGATAGATCCTATAAACCTCCTTGCAGGAGGCATAAGGGATCTGTCAAAAAAGGCTTTCTTTCTCAACAGATACCCCTCTAGACTGCCTCTTTTTGCGGACAAAGTGCTGAGTCAGCAAAACGTGGTGGCCATTTTTATGCAAATTAGACACAGGATATTTAAATCCCTGCCTCATTTGCAGTGTTGACCTGCCTAATCTGCATCCCTCTGCTGACAGAGGGATGCAGTCTAGACATTCCCTCAGTAGGAAAGCTCTGAATAAGTTCAATATAGGAAAAGGATAATCCTTTAGATAATATGAATTGTGTTAACACCGGAGGGAGAGCAGAAAGAAAACAGAAAGAAGGGAACATACAGAGAAAGTACTATTACCCAGCAACATTATTTTGAAATAACTAGTGTTATTTCAAAATAACTTAGTCCGTGTCTACACAACAGGCAGTTATTTCGAAAAAATGTCAAAATATCGTTAAGCTGGAGGACTTCTTACTCTGACTCCTGTAACACCCACTGTACAAGGAGTAAGGGAAGTCAGAGAAAGAGTGCTCTATTTCAAAATAAGTGCTGCGTAGACTCTCCCAATTTTGAAATTAGCTATTTCAAAATAAGCTACACAATTGATGTAACTCAGTTTGCGTAGCTTATTTCAAGTTACCCCTGCTGTGTAGTCACACCAAGATAGGAAAAGAATTAACCACTGGTGTTACGCTGAATGTGAGAAAAAATTATCAACCTTATTTGGTCTACTAACTTCAAAAGTACTTGCAATTAAAGGTTACTGCTATGCATGCTGAAGAGAAGAAACACATACCAGATACATGATCTTTTGACAGCATGATAAGGAAGTAAATATATTGGTTCATATCTACCCTTATATTTATAACACTTGGATTGAGTAAAATAATAACGTTCAGCTAATTACTTTACTCTCAAGGGGTATGTCTACACTACCCTCCTAGTTCGAACTAGGAGCGTAATGTAGGCATACCGCACTTGCAAATGAAGCCCGGGATTTGAATTTCCCGGGCTTCATTTGCAAGTGCGGTATGCCTACATTACCCCGCTAGTTCGAACTAGCGGGGTAATGTAGGCATACCGCACTTGCAAATGAAGCCCGGGATTTGAATTTCCCGGGCTTCATTTGCAAGTGCGGTATGCCTACATTACCCCGCTAGTTCGAACTAGCGGGGTAATGTAGGCATACCGCACTTGCAAATGAAGCCCGGGATTTGAATTTCCCGGGCTTCATTTGCAAGTGCGGTATGCCTACATTACCCCGCTAGTTCGAACTAGCGGGGTAGTGTAGACATACCCAAGATATGTACGTCACTGGCAGATATATTTATTTCAATGTAGAAACAATCATTTAACTGCTGAAGGCAATATATTGTCTCCAGACTCATGCAGAGCATCTATAGACATTAATGGGACCTTGAAAGTTGTGTAGCTCAAAAGTTTGTCCTATCCACCAACAGAAACAGATTCAATAAAATATATGACCTCAACTACCTTTGTTTCTCTCATTAATGGAAGAACCATATAGAGATCAAAAGACAACTTTTTGCACTACTTATTAACAAGTAAGACAGAACAGTGTCAAATTCCACTACTCTGTATACATACCTTTGTCTGATCCAGTTCTGATGAGAGGCTCTCCAAACTGCTAAAGCTTAAAATGCGTTCAAGTGCAGAGCTTGCTTGCTTAAGATATTTGACTACTGTTTCTTTGTCTCTTTCAAACTGTTCCCACTTGTTTACTGTGACCTACACAAAATAGGACAACAGAAAAGTGTTTGGATGGAAATTACTGATAGTTAAAGGTTACAAACCTAAATGCAAAATATTACAGACATCCTCCCCCCCCCCTCCTCCAGCTATGCTGCAGATATATCTATCTAGAAGACAGTTAAGGTGTAGTCATCTAGCACGTGTTCTATTCTGTTACACAGAAAAGCACAGCTCTCCTCTCTGGTACATTTCTCTTTGAGTTTTAAGCATATGTCTGAATCTACTAAAGCCTCACAGCTATATAAGTAAAGGTGGAAGTACCAGATCTTTGCTCAATGTTATCTATAGAAATAGAAAACTGTTTAAAAAACAGAACAGGTAAAATGGTAGTTATATTTAATACCAAGCTGAATAGAGAAAGTTCAGTTTATCTAATGTAAATTTTGGTTAACAAGTGACATTTGATTACTAGCTACTGCAAGTTTGGAGCCTTGTATCATCAGTATAGTGAATGTTTCCTTGTAATCTCAAATTTCTGAAATAATCTAGAGCTACTAGTGAGACTTGGCCGAAGGTGGGTCCTTCAAGAAATACCTACTTTGCTTCAACCAATAATTCAAATTAAGAAATTTTCTAATAGCCTTTAATGTCAATCATAACACAGGAAATAACTACGGTACCTTCAAACTTCCAAGCACAGAGATATATCCAATGGCACTATCACCCTTGAACAACAAAAATTTGATGGACAGGTATAGGCTGGCGAACTGAACTCAGGGTTGAGAGGCAGGAAGGACTCAGTAATTTGCTCTGTGATTTGACAAGTCAATTCATTTCTTTGTGCCTCTGTTTTTCCATCTGTGAACTCAGGATATTTCATATGGCCGTTTTGAGGTTTAATTGTTTGTGCACTGCTGTGTATATACTAGGTATTATTATTAAATGAAGCCTAAAAATTTTCATTACAGTGAAATGTCATCCTTCATGAATAAAGGTGCCACACAACCCCCAATTTAAAGCTAATTCATAGGGATTTTGTCTATTAAATGAGAGTCAACATAATCAATTAGGACTGAACAACAAGCTTTTAAACAGTTCCCAAAAATTAGATGTATACTAAAATCGAAAAGGACTCCCACATTTTACTCAAAAAAAGAGAGAAAACTATAAGGATGGATGCATGGGTTCTGTTAGTGAAATTCCCACATAGTGAGTCTCAAATATGAGAAACTGATCACAGATTTGTTAAAAATGTTAAAATGTGGGGCAAACTCAATTCTCATTGCATGGATAGAAAAATAAATTAAAAGACAGGATGCTGACCTGTTACCATTGGAAGAAGTAGCAAGTTGTCAACCCTTTAACTAAATTACATGAAAAAATAGGAAAATTGAATACAGAGGATACTGTAATGTTACCTGCTAAATGCTCACCTGTAATTTTTCTTCCCGTTTCTCCATATTCTGCTGCATGTTTTCTAATGTGCCTTCCAACTTCTGTAAATCTTCTTGCACTGTGCTAGGCAGTCCTCCTTCAATCTGCAGCTGTTTAGCTCGGGCAATCTGCTGTTGCACATCTTGTCTCTTTGCACGGAGCCTCTTTGTCCTTTGCTACAAGCATTCATTCAACAGGATTGATACAGATTTAAATGATTCTCAATTCAGTATTGAAAGCAGGGACATTAGAAACACACCCACAGCTTTCTGTATGTATCCCCTTCATAAAGGGGATAATAGACAAAGGGCTACATTATCTCCTTCCTAGACAGAAGTACCGTTAGAGGGTGAGTCCAGATGGAGCAGTAGTGCACTTGTGCAGAAGGCAGCCATAAACCAGCTACAAAGTACTGAATAATGCCTGGCATCTGGCTCATGATGCTTCACTACCCTCTGGCTTCGGAGTACCTTTGGTTGTAGTGTAAACATGGCAGTAGCCCTGCTCCTTCTCTGTGCCATTCATCAGATGCAGAGCAGCACTGAGGGAAGCACACTGTATACCCACAGAGCAAACACAGTGAAAGCCAAAGGTGTGTGCTCCTTTTCATGTCACTAGACACTTTATTCACCTCCTAGAGGTGCAACATAGAACTCACAGCCCAAAGAGAGAGAAGGGAAGACTGGCTTTAAGGCACTGTTATGGTGCCCAAATTCTGGGCAGATAAAGGGGCGGTGCAGCCCTTGACATAATTAGAGTGCCTTCGAGGGCTGTCTTATGGGCTGCGGGACTTTCAGAAGTCTCACGCAGCAGCTGCACCCCCTTGCATGTGGGTGCCTCACCCACCTCCAGCCTTGCCTCTGACATGCCCCTTTGCTGGGTTTGTGAAAGAATGCTCAGAAGGCAGCCGGCATCTGTCTGTCTCCATTCTCTTCTAGACAATTTCAGGGCTTTTAAAGATCCCATTTGTACCAATTCTCCCATCTGCTATACGGGGCAAGGACAAGGTGAGAGTTTCACCCATGACTTTTCCTGACTTCTGCAACAAGGATAAACCTGCTGAATTCCTATGAGCAGTGCTCCTCCTTCCGCCTCTCTCATATTGACTTCAATTTGCAGAGTCTTAAAAATGCAGCACATACAGCAACTATAACATGAATATAGTTATTACAAATATGACATGCGCTGAATAGAAACAGAGGTACAATTTAGCATCTTCTAGTTAGAGAACATGGCACATCCAACTGTGAGAAACACCGGTTAATCTACACCATTTACTCCATGCACAAACACTGACAATGATGTGATTCTTTTTTAGGACACCCAAAAGTTACTGTCACACAGTACAGCCGTGTTCTACAGTACATGATAGAACATAACCCCCAACCTTTATTACATTAGTAGACATACTATATGTTATTATGTTTAAAAACACTGGATATATGTAACTGTTGCACAACTGAGATCACTTTTAAGATTAAAACTCACTTTTTCATTCTATTGCCCAGCAATCAGTTTAAATAAGAAACTATTATTGTAATAGCTGAGCACCTGGTTTGGTGAAAATATGACATCTTGCAATGTAAACAGCTTCTTATAGCACTGCGCACCTAGTCAGAAAAAAAAGGACAAATTCTGCCTTCAGTTGCATACAATGGTATAACTGAGGACAGAATCTGGCCTGCAATATTAAAAACATTAATTGTGCAAATTGAAGCATTGGTTTAATTGAACCATTGCAATATAATGTCATTAAACCAAACTATTAATGGAGCTACAAAGTAGTGGAAAAAATGATCCGTGTAAATAATTCTTCCCATTATGCTAACAAAGATCAAATCAGAATCTTAGCCTTTTAAAATACTTAGCCTTTTTAAAAGTACTTGTAATAGTACATCTTGTTAAAAAAATCAAAATTTGGTACCTAAATAAAAATGGCCTCATTTTCAGAGTCTGGAACTCAAGTGAATTCAATGAGAGCTGCAAGTGCTCACATTCACTGAAAATCTGGCTATTTTTAATTTAAAGATGTATACTATGGCATCAAAGTATGAAAATCTTGGCCTCTTTATTCCAAGACAAAGTAATTTCCATAATTATAAACCAATAATATTTAGGCTACTGTTGTTCAGGAGTGTGAAAAAACACACCCCTGAACAACATAGGTTTTTCCAGTATAAGCGCTCATGTACACAGCACTATGTCACTCATGGAGCTGGTTTTATTAAGTCGATGGGAGAGCTCTGTCTCATCAGCATAACGTGGCTACATGAGCACTCTTACAGAGGCACTATGTCCCAATGCTAGAGCTATATTTTATACCTGACATTGTCATATAAAATACACTGCATTACACCACAAGAGAAGCTACACAAACACTCTCTACTTATCAATGACACAAACCACAAATAACAAGTTGATCAAATCTGAGTATGACCAGTTGTCCTACCTGATGATGTAGAAGTAGTTGTTGAGCCTGTAATAAGCTTTCTGTATCTAAGATTTTTTCAGCCTCTAGTTGGGCTTCTTTCGAATTGGTAATTAGTTCTTCTAGGGCACTTTTTACTTCTTCTTTGTATTGGACACAATCCTCAACAGTGCTTAACATCTTCTCAATCTATATTTATGGAAAATATTGATACATGCAATAGCTGAATAGGATTAATTTACATTTGGGGTATTTTTTGTAACACATGATAATTGTAATGCAAAACCCATACACCTGCAGGTCATTTAGGACCCTTCTTTTGCTTTGTATTTATAAAAACTAGCAATGTTCATAGGAAATAAGAATAAGGTAGACATGTTTTAGGCTTATCTGTTTGCCATATCTTTGTAATACTTTATGGGTCATAACTTCATTGGATATAAATTGTCATAACTCCATTTATTTCAGATTATATGTGACAATTTACAGAATTTGAAGATTTCTCTCAGTATATTATTTATACTTCCTATTAGCCTAGCATTCATCAACAATTCCACAATAGTATACTAGTGGAAGAATATACAAATACAAAATGCAAGTTAGTCAGATTTCAGTTTTTAGGAATGTGTGAAATATTTCAGCAATGTTCAGAATCAACAGAACTTCACTATCAATTTGAGGACAACTTAAAGTCAAACCATATTTAGGTTCTGAAAAAGGTTAATAAACATTTCTATTTTTTATTAAATGTTCATCAATCTCTTATTTTCCTTGTTCTTGTTTTTGGGTGAGACAAGAGGTATATACACGTAAATCCCATGTAAAGTTATATTGTGCAGTATGTGAGGCTTAATGAAATCATAACATTATGAACCAACAGTTTTCATAAGATTTCAAGTCCAATTTTCATACCAAGTAAAATTAAATTACATTTGAATAAACACTTGGATCCTGTATAAACCTGGAGCAATTACAATGAAGTTACAAGATCTCTAAATGAGACTGCAGTAAAAGTGGCACTTTAGAGTCTCCATTCTTAACTTCATCTGCCTCGTAACAAGGAGATACCCAAACTCCTCCTAATCTTCTCTTACAAAAAATATGGAGGAGACTCCATCAGTGACAGGCTTGATTGCCCCTAGATCTAGAATCAAAATTTCTTCAGGATAGTTTGATGCTTCTAATTGTCCATCAGAGCTAAATGGAAATAGAAAAGGGCTGTGAAGAAGCCTGGAGAATATTTGTGTATCTGAAGTTGACTGAGGTCCCTAAACTTAAGTGAGATATCCTGTTTAGTTTGGGAGAGAACTGCTGTGATAAAAAGACAACTTCCTCCTCAGTATCTTCTTCCTCATTAGAGAATGGAGGGACCACAGGTGAAGTGGGGCCAATGAGGTGCCATGTATGCCAGGGAAACATTAGTTGCCAAAAAAATGTGATTCAGTCATTGATGAAACAGGCTAAGCAGCTCTGTTTGCAATAGCTCATTAATAACCCCTTTTTCAGGCCCGCAAGTAGTTTTATACAGGTTGAAACTCTCTAGTCTGACATACTCTAATCCGGCAACATCTGTGGTCCAGCATGATTTTAGTTAGGTGGATATCCGCTTATCATGGGTGTGGCCAAGTTTCCCACAGTCCCATAAAGTTTGTTTACAGCCACTAGTCTTGATTCTCAGCATTACCTGCTGTTATTTAGCTCTATTTTACCCCGAATGTCTTCTGAGGACCCAGTAAGCAGCGGAAGTGTTGCTAATGTTGCTAGACTATATTGACATCCCATGGTCTCACAAATTCTCTGGTTCAGCACTGATCAGGTCCCAAGGGTGTGAGACTAGATAAGTTCAACCTGTAGCTTGCTGTCTCTTAGGGCACTTCTACACAGCAGGGCTAAAGCTGAAATAATCTATGCAACTTGAGCTACGTCAATTTCATAGCTTAAGTTGAAATAGCTTATTTCAGCTTTTGGCACAGTCTCCATAGCAGGAAGTCCGAGAAATAGCACTCTTCCTCCAACTTCCCTTACTCCTCGTAAAATGAGGGTTACAGGAGATGGAGTAAGAAGTCCTCCATCTCAACATTATTTGACATTATGTCAAAATAACAGCTTGTAGTGTAGACTAGATGTGAATTATGTTATTTTGGAATAACGTCAGTTAATCCTAAATAACACTGCTGTATAGACATACCCTTAGAGGCCAAAACTTCCAGTGACTTCAGTGATACCAGAATTTGGTTGCAGATCAGCCAGTAAGGATGGTAGGGACTCCAATCACTTTAGAGCCTTACTTTGCCAATCTATTGTTCTGAATCCTGAGACTTCCAAATATTAGTACCAGGCTGTCAATGTAAAATGCTTGCTAGTATTTAATTGTAGAAAACTAGTATTCCATTTTTAGGTAAAAATACCTAAAGCACTGAAGATATTTTGGATTCAGAAATGTTCATCTGAAGCAGAGAAAGATTCAGGAGCCTACTGAGTAGTTCTGTTAATATTGTTGTTTGCTAGACTCAAGGCTTTGTTGCACCTGGGATCTGAATGAATTTGGGTTGCTGTATGCTTCTTGTATAATTAAAAAAAGCACAGCAGGTCACTTACTCTTGTGTAACAATAGTTGATGACACTACATAGGACGCTGTGAATGGTCATACTATACCTCAGCCAGCAAATGTAGCAGTTCCTTGAAGTCGCTAGAAAGTTTAGATAACTCTTCCTCTTTGTTTCTGGATTCATCCTCAGCAGAAATCTCAGTCAAAACAGCAAGTCTAGATTTCAGCCAGTGAAAATTTTCTCCTTGTTTGCTGACACCATGCCTGATAACCTACAAAGAATCACAAATATACAAGCTTAGAATCAATTAAATATAACAACAAATAATATTCATGGGCAATTTTATATCAATTCTGTGATGAGCAGCACAAAAATATGTGTGTGAGAATTTGTGTATTTTCCTTTGAAGACTGTAGGATAGTATTTTTCTCTAGTTCCCATAGAGTATCTCATGTTCTACTTAGGGTTGAATCCTTCCCTCTTTCCACAGCCACTACAGGATTGTCCCCTACTTTGCTGAAGCCTGTTTTTTCCCCTACAGGCTAGTATTAACAACAATCGGTTTCATACAATATCCTGCTTGCATATATCTAAAATAGGATTACATTGCATATTTTAAAGACTATTGGGATTAGCCAAATTAGAAACATTTATTTATGTTTTTATCTGGTTTCAGATACTTAGGGTAGTCACAAAGACACTTAGTTAGAGCACTTACTTATTAAAATCCCTTCTCTCTCTCAAGTGGAAGGGCAACTAAACTAGGGTTCTCCCACATCCCAGATGAATACACTATCCACTCAAAGTTAAGAGTGTTGTAGTAAGCAAGACATGAAAAGTAATTCTTCTGCTTTACCCTATGCGGCTTAGGCTTCAACTGGAGTATTGTGTCCAGTTTTGGGAGTCACATTTCAGGAAAGATGTGGAGAAATTGGAGTAGGTCCAGAGAAGAGCAACACACAGGATGAAAGGTCTAGAAAACATGACCTATGAGCGAAGATTGAAAGAATCAGGTTTGTCTCCGGAGAAGAGAAGACTGAGAGGGGACTTGATAACAGTTTTTAAGTAACTTAAAAGGTTGTTACAAGGAGGAGGGAGAAAAATTATTCTTCTCAACGCATGGTAAAAGGACAGGAAGCAATGGGCTTAAATTGCAGCCAGGGAGGTTTAGTTGGAATTAGGAAAAACTTCCTGTCAAGGAGGTTATATAGTGGAATAAAATGCTTAGGGAAGTTGTGGAACCTCTATCATTGGATATTTTTAAGAGCAGGTCAGACAAATATCTGTCAGGGACAGTCTAGATGGTGTGTGGTTCTGCCATGAATGCCAGGAACTGAACTTGATGACCTCTAAAGGTTCCTTCCACCTGTATGATTCTATATTTAATATTTTTATTAATGACCTTGTCACAAAAAGTAGGAGTGTTCTAATGAAATTTGCTGATGATATCAAGTTGAGAGGCATAATCAATCTAGAGAAGGATTAGCTATTATACAGGAAGATTCTGATGACCTTGAAGACTGGAGTTAAGAAATTAGATTACATTTAATAGCACAAAATGCAAGGTCTTAGGCTGTAATAATAAGGATTTCTGTTATAAGCGGATGGATTGTCAGTTGGAAGTTACAGTAAAGAAGAGAAAAGGAGTGTGTGGGCCTACCATAGGATGACTATAAGCCACGAGTAATATGTAGCAGTAAAAAAGGCAAATGCAATCCTAAGATTACCAGGCTAGGCATTGCCAGTAGGGGTAGAGGAGTATTATTAGGGTTAAGACGTCATGTGGAATACTGTGTATTGTTCTGGTCACCTATGTTGATTAATTTAAACTGGAACTGGTGCAGAGAAAGGCTACCAGCATGTTCAGAGCTACAGAGGGCTTCTCTTATGAGAGGAAACTAGAAGAGTTTGGTTTTATTTAGTCTAGTAAAAAGAAGTCTAAGAGGGGATACAATTATTCTGCATAAGTACATCATATAGGTAAATACGGGAAGGGTGAAGACCTATTTAAGATAAAGGACAATGTTGGCACAAGAACAAACTGATACAAACCATCCATGAACAAATTCAGGATGGAAATTAGAAGAAAGTTTCTAAATATCAGAGGGAACAACTTCCCGCTAAGAGTTGTAGGGGCAGACTACTTAATTGGTTTTAAAAGAGAGCTGGACAAATTTATGAGTGTGACTGATGCTCAGAGTCTAACTCATATGTGGGTTGGCAGGGACTTTTCCCTCAGATCAGACTGGCATTGAACATTAGAGCACTTTGGTCCCTCCTATTCCTTGTCTGTGGCAAACAATAGTTTAATCTCCTGGGGGCTGCAATACTTTGGTCTAATTTTGGTTGTTAAGTTTAGTGTGAGACTGTTGGGTGGTGTCAGACTAGATGATATCATTGTCTCTTCTTCCCTTAAACTCTGCTCTCTGATGTGAAGATAGGTGGTGAGATGGCCCGGTCTCCAGCTTCTCCTTTTGTAGAGGCTATATGCGCTGACTCCATGTAGCTGAACTAATGGGTGGTACCACTGAAATCCAAGGCGGAAATCTCTCTACCGTATCTGAATATATGCTAAGAACTAACCTCTGTTGCTGTTTTAAATTGTTTGTATTTGGCAGTATCATTGACACCAAGCTTAATCTTCGTTAGCTCGCTTTCCTTTGATGAAATCCAATTTGCTAATTCAGAAATTCTGAAATCAAAGAGCACACAACATAAAACATGGTAAAAGTTAGCTGCAAATTACCCTTTATCAAGCCACAATTGCTACTTATTAATGTAAATGAAAAATGGCAGCTGGAAGAAAAACAGATTATTTTGAACCCACTACATAAAATAGAGTTTTCTGTTTTTGAACAAAAAATTATTTACCATTCCTTGAACTGTGTTTTTCTATTACTGGAGTTTTTAAAGACGAGTACATATACTAATTGTTCTGATCCATGCTCGGTCATATACAATGAACAGAACTAGTTACCTATTCTTGTAATCCTTCCACTTATCAGGGTTTTCTTTTAGTTTCACATAGGTCCTATCAATTTGGGATTTAAGTTCCTTGAGGGTTTCTTGGCAGCTTTCCAATGTAACCTTAAGTTGGTCCCATTCTGGGAGCTTTAGGCACAGTTCTTCAATCAGCTGCAGCCTTTTGTCACATAGCAGATAAGGTCCCTTTTCACCAAAGAAAATCTAAAAAGGGGGAAAAAAGCAACAATAACACACTGACCATGCCACAAATCACTATTTTTTTCTTTTACAAAAACTAAGAAGGCTCCCAGTTTTTGCAAAGGGATTAAATCAAATTCAGCTTTCCTTTAAGATTCCAAATCTTAATGCATTTAAAAGTTGTTCAGAGAATTTATAAAACCTCCATCCAGGGATCCAATTTACTGTCATGTTTCGCCAGTTTCACTTCACTGAAATCAATAGAGTTGCATCAGTGTGAACCTGCAGTAACTTGCTTGTGTTCTATCAGACCTTGGTTTTTATATCTTGTTTGTATTTGAATGTATTTAAATATGTGTCCACTTGGTGGCATATGGTGCATACCTGATGCTCTTTGATGGTCTTTTCACTGCCCTCCCTGGATACCAGCTTGTTCTCTCTAGCAAGTTCAGATCTACATTCTTCCACTGTGCTTAGGAATTTGCTTTTCTCTACTTCAATCTTCAGATGGACCAAATGATATGGGGCTTCTGTCTGGAGATCCTATACTCCACGGGGTGGGGGGGTGCAAACAAACACAGGAAGAAAGCATGATTCTCATTCATTCAATGTAAGGCTGCTGAATGAGAATTATAGAACTTTTTAAAAAATGCAACAGAAATCACATGCATGCTATAAAACATGCAGAACAGTTTTTTTCAATATTCACATATGAAGGGAAACAATAGAATTAGATAGAATTATTAGTTGTATACTTAGATCTCAAGCTTTTTTGGGCAGGTACATTCTTTCACATTAGTATGTACAGTGCCTAGCAAAATGAGGTTCTGAGGGCTTGTAAGTGCTACATCCATAAAATAAATAAAGATAATAATATTGTGGTTATATTAACAACAGCCTTCCCCATTCCCACGGCACCTGATAAAATTCGATGGTAAAATTTAGGCCAAGCTGAATGCTTTTGAAAACCTCACTCTAGATATTTAGCTACCTAATGGCACATGCAAGATGGGCTCAAATGGAGAGTTTTGCACTTATCTAGATGTTGAATCTGAACATAGGCATATTCTTAGAGGACTATTTGCAAACTTGGCCCATAAAGTATAATAAAATTGTTCTGTCACTTATCAGTCTTTGCTCAGCCACTTTAGTCTTTGGCAGTAAGCACTGATTAAATTGAAAGGCTAATCTATTAACAATTAGGTTTATTAGTGTTCCTACAGTAGCTACAAGCAGTTCTGCTTCAGTGGGAACATGAAAAGGCTAGGTGATATTATCGCCAGCACTAACAGTAACACCGGCACCATCTCTTATTTTGTTTACTCAACACTTCCCATTATAAAACTTGGTTTTCCGATGCCTGCAACTTTTACAAACTTTAACTCTTCTGGCTGAAATTTTCCACGTGAGACGTCGCTCTCAGATTAATGATTTAAAAAAAAATCAGCCAAAACAATTCAGCTATTTCCAAGAATGAGACTATGGAAAAGTCAGAGTCTGGGCACTGGAACTGAGAGTTGTGGGGGACGGGGAGAGGGAGGGAGGGAGGAAGGAGGGAAGGTTGGAACAGGTTTGGCAAGAAGACTGTGACTCCGGGATGTAAAACTGGGAGAAAGTAGATTCAGGATGGAAGATAAAGGTGGAGTTTGGATGAGGACCCTGGAGAGAGACTGAGCCCCTGACTGGGCAATGGGAAGAAGGTTGGGTGGAGCAGAGACACATCTAAAAAGCAGCTAGGCTTTAAGGGGAGAACTGAGACAAGTAGGTGGCTGGTGGGGAGACACAGAGAGTGGCGTTCAAGGAGGAGGGAGACAGACTGGGAACCCATGGTAAGTGGGAATGTGAGCAGGGGATGACTAAAGGCTGGGAGAAGAGAGCTACTCCAATGAGGAGTAGAGAGGGGGAAACTGGTATTGGCCAGGCAAGGAGACTCAAAGTAAAAAGCTAGGGAGAGAGAAGGAAATGACAGGTCAAGGAGACCAGATCATAGGCATGAGGGAGGGAGACTGCTATTGGTAATCCCGTGGAACAGATTACAACTGACTGGGAATGGAGACGGGGACTGAAATGAGAAACCTGAGGAGTGGAGACAGGATAGGTGAGAGGAGTGAGACTGCTGAGGAGCTAGGAGTTGGAAAGAGATAGGATTGGGACAAGAGAAGGGTGGAAGGGATGTAACAAAAGGTGTCATGCTAAGAAGGAATCAGGCAGAAGGGTCCCTGCCCTAGAGCACAAATCCCTTTCTAATCTGAAATGGAACCCAAGATTCCTGGGACTCCTCATTCCTGAGGAATGATGTCAGGAAATGTCTATGAAACCCACTGACAAAGTGTGTATTTCTTCCACCTGTTGTCCTGGCCCATATAGAGGATCAGTTACTCTATTAGCTCAAGCAACAGAGGGTTATGTGGAGGGATATAAAGGTTCCAACTCTGCTGCAGATCCATGGGTGTCAGCATGATGCCAGATGATTGGATTTTTTCAGTTTGCTTTAGGACACCGCCCTCATTTGTTTCAGAACTGGAATGTGAGTTGGTAGGGGATCACAGGAGAACGGTGGGTCTCATCAGTTAGAGAGTTGAATTTGTGCCTGGAAAACTGTCCACCAAGTTTCTATATGATGGTGGGCAGCTCACTTACACTAAACTCTTCACAAGTGGTCACTGACAGAGTGGAGGCAATGGATGAGTGTTCTTATTGCATCATCTGCCAGTACATGACAGCACTCAGGGAAGCTAATAATCCAACCAGCAAGCTGAATTCTGCAAGCACCAGCACAAAGAATCCCAGCAATGTCATCACCAACAACCTCAACATACAGACCGATGACTCGTATGTAATTGGACCAGCTCTACGTATCTTATAATTCAACATCGTGGGACTGACAGTAGCCAACAGTGTTCTTCCTCATCAATATTTTACATGCTGAATAAATACTAATTGCATGTTCCTAAATCTCAGGATGCCCAAATTGTGATCCTGGGGTTTGATTTGCAGCAGTGCTGGGTACTCAAAGGAGCAAATGAAGACAATGAGGACTGTGTTTGAGTATATAAAGATGCCAAAGCAGTATACTACTAAATAGTCTGAAAAATCAAGTCCTAGGTTTTTCAAATTGAGCAAAGTGTTTGACTTAAATTCTTTTGTGCCTTAGTTCCCATTTTTTCTAATGGAGATATTCTTCTCACCTTACAGGTGTTTTGTGAAGATAAGCTTACTATTGTCTACGAAGCACTCAGATATCATAGTGGTGAGTGACACAAGAATGCCCAGGGAAGAAATTAATAATTCTGTCTCAGTCTGAATAGCGTACAATAACCAAGGCTTAAAGCCACACACTAAACCATAAGAGAAAAAAGAAAATATTTTAGAGCTATTATGTAAGTGAACACTGTCCAGTTTGTGTTCTGAATTACACAGGCATCCTCTAGAAAAAGTGGTATGTGACCATGTAATTAAATATTGCGTCATAATGCATATGCACAAGAGGGATTGCCCAAGGAAGTTTCATCTTGGCATTTCTGTTACTTTTTGAGTGCTCCACTTTGCAACTGTAATAATAATGTTTTAACAGTTTTGTGTAATTGTATTTACCTTTACAGGCCATTGCCTGTCTCTTTCTCTTTATAGGAAGAGGAAAGAGGAATAAAAAGGATAAGATGTTCACAGTTTCCAATCACAACATATTGCGTGGGCACCTGGGACTCTTGAGCTATTCAGTTTACTAATTCCAGAGTTCTCATTTAAATACTAACTTTCCACTGCTTATGGAGTTTCCTAACTGCTTCCTGCAGGCTGTGTTGTTCTTGCTCAGGAAGGATGTCAGTAAGTTCATCACAAGCTTTCAGGAAGGCGTTAAGTACTCTCTGGTCCAACTGGCTGAAAAATTCCTGATGTTGAAAGAAAAGGTTAGAAGTTAACTTGCTTAATGTTGATATG